TGATCTGTAATAGGCCGGTGGGGTGAGTGGGTCCCACGCCCTTGAATAATAATGAGCTAAAGGCTGTAGTTTTCTTAATATGCAATGAAATTTATCTTCCGTCCTATCGTGACGCAAAATGACGATATTTACGTCACGATAGGACGGAAGTAAAACACTTAAATCCTTTTTTCTCCCATCTCAGAAAAAAAACAAGCAAAATTCCACCATCATTATAATATATGACTGGGTTTCTAACCATACAAACCTTAATGCAAATGGGTGAAGTGACCCTTTAATACAAATAGATTATTAACATTAATATCAGCAGGTTTATTATTAGTATTATTAGTAATCTTAGTATTATTATTTTAAGAGCTAATGCACAGATCTAATATAATGTTACACATCTGTTTACTTCACTTAAGACACAACAGTGTTTATGTGAATCTCACTGAGACAGATGTTTTGAAATAAGTGTGTGTGTGTGTGTGTGTGTGTGTGTGTTCTGCAGGTTGGCCCCCATGCGTCTCTACACTCTCTCTAAGAGACACTTCGTCCTGGTGTTTGTGGTGTTCTTCTTCTGCTTCGGCGTGTCCACGCTCATCGGTGTGTCAGGTGAGTCTCTGGTGTCCTGAAGACCGTTTCCCAGCATGCACCTGTCCTGCTCGATGCGCTGCTACATGATTCTTAACCCTCACAAGATCAAAATTAAAGCAATTAAGAGTTAAAAATGCCTGTTTTTATTTATGCATTTTTACTTATACACTCTGAAATGTTTCATTGTCACACAACAATTCATTTTTATTTATTTAATATTACGAGTCTCTAGATTACAAGACTTTTAGATGCTTTTTGTGAGTTTTAAGTTTCCTAAAAGCACCTTTAAAGAGGAAACACTTAAGTATTTTGGTAATGCTTTACAATAAAGTTTTAGTTAACATGAACTTGCAATGTCAGTTAATGTTAATTTCAACATTTATTTTAGTATAATTTTAACAAATTCACAACATTAAGTTGTATCTGTTAATATTATTCAATAGATCTGATATGACATGAACTTGTATTTTTATTAACTAACTTTAACAAAGATTAATAAATGCTGTAACAAGCTCATTATTGCTCGTCTGCGGATCCTTAAAATGTCTTAAAGCCTTAATTAGCATTAAAATGTCTTAAAATAAAGCCTTATTTAGCATTAAAATGTCTTAAAATAAAGCCTTAATTAGCATTAAAATGTCTTAAAATAAGGCCTTAATTAGCATTAAAATGTCTTAAAATAAAGCCTTAATTAGCATTAAAATGTCTTAAAATAAGGCCTTAATTAGCATTAAAATGTCTTAAAATAAAGCCTTAATTAGCATTAAAATGTCTTAAAATAAAGCCTTATTTAGCATTAAAATGTCTTAAAATAAAGCCTTATTTAGCATTAAAATGTCTTAAAATAAAGCCTTAATTAGCATTAAAATGTCTTAAAATAAGGCCTTAATTAGCATTAAAATGTCTTAAAATAAAGCCTTAATTAGCATTAAAATGTCTTAAAATAAGGCCTTAATTAGCATTAAAATGTCTTAAAATAAAGCCTTAATTAGCATTAAAATGTCTTAAAATAAGGCCTTATTTAGCATTAAAATGTCTTAAAATAAAGCCTTATTTAGCATTAAAATGTCTTAAAATAAAGCCTTATTTAGCATTAAAATGTCTTAAAATAAAGCCTTATTTAGCATTAAAATGTCTTAAAATAAAGCCTTATTTAGCATTAAAATGTCTTAAAATAAAGCCTTAATTAGCATTAAAATGTCTTAAAATAAAGCCTTATTTAGCATTAAAATGTCTTAAAATAAAGCCTTATTTAGCATTAAAATGTCTTAAAATAAAGCCTTAATTAGCATTAAAATGTCTTAAAATAAGGCCTTATTTAGCATTAAAATGTCTTAAAATAAAGCCTTAATTAGCATTAAAATGTCTTAAAATAAGGCCTTATTTAGCATTAAAATGTCTTAAAATAAAGCCTTAATTAGTATTAAAATGTCTTAAAATAAGGCCTTATTTAGCATTAAAATGTCTTAAATCCCCTTTTCAAAGGTCATAAAATCTAGCAGATTTTTGTCACCGCAAGACTGAAACAAAGATATTATTATATGAGATATGAAGTTGAGGTTGTTGTTTGCGCAGTTTACTGATAAATGTCTCTCCTGTAGGACCGAAGATCATAACTGAGAATTATTACAACGGTTTAAGCGCCAACGTCAATGCATCAAAGGTGAGGCGAACTGCAGATGTGTGTGAAAGAAGCTTAATTTCCTTAAAGTGAAGAAAAAAAACACTAACAAAGTAATGCAGATTTTTTTCTTTGTGAAAATTAAGTCTGTTCTGCGTTTATTTGATAAAAATGCAGTAAAAACAGTGAAATATTATTAGAATTTAAAATAGCTGTTTTCTATGTGAATATATAGTAAAGTGTAATTTATTCCTGTGATCAAAGCTGAATTTTCAGCATCATTACTCCAGTCTTAAGTGTCACATGATCCTTCAGAAATCACTCTAATATGAGGATCTGATGCTCAAGAAACAGTTATGATTAATATGAGCCCCACAAAACAGTTGTGCATTTTATTTTTCAGAATTCTTTGATGAATAGAAAGCCCAGAACAACAGCGTTTATTAGAAATATAATCTTTTGTAACATTATCAATGTCATCAAATCATCATATTAATGATTTCTGAAGGATCATGTGACACTGAAGACTGGAGTAATGATGCTGAAATTCAGCTTTGATCACAGGAATAAATTACATTTAAAAAATATATTTAAATAGAAAACAGATGTTTTACATTCTAATAATATTTCACTGTTTTTACTGTATTTATGATTAAATAAATGCAGCCTTGGTGAGCAGGAGAGACTCTTTTAAAAACATTAATGCGTCTCAATCAGATTTTTGACTGGAAGTGTAAGTCTTGTTGTGTTCATGTCCATGTTTTCTCAGACCGGCCCGTTCGACCTCAAATCTCAACCGCTGACCAACTACAACCAGCAGCTCTGGCTCACATGCATCATTCAGCTGAACACCAACAGTGAGAAAACACCTTTAAACACCTTTTTATTCAGAATAGTTTAGAGTTTATAGTTCAGATATATACACTGATGTCTAAGGTAGTGATCGAAATAGAGTAAATCACTTTTGAAAGTAATGTGACGCTTCAGATAAAGATTGTATCGATTACATCGTTACACCAGTAGGTGGCGACAAGTGACTGTTAAATGTGTGTGTGTCATTGAATCATTCATTCATGACTTTCGCTCAAAAACACTGATTCATCCAGTAATGAAGCTAGTGAAGTCTTTATGAGCGAGTCATTAAATCATTCATTCAAGAGATTCATTGAAAAACACTGATTCATCCAGTAATGAAGCAAGTGAAGTCTTTATGAGCGAGTCATTGAATCATTCATTCAAGAGATTCATTGAAAAACGCTGATTCATCCAGTAATGAAACAAGTGAAGTCTTAATGAGCGAGTCATTGATTCATTCATTCATTCAAGAGATTCATTGAAAAACACTGATTCATCCAGTAATGAAACAAGTGAAGTCTTTATGAGCGAGTCATTGATTCATTCATTCAAGAGATTCATTAAAAAAAAACAGATTCATCCACTAATGAAGCAAGTGAAGTCTTTATGAGCGAGTCATTGAATCATTCATTCAAGAGATTCATTGAAAAACGCTGATTCATCCAGTAATGAAACAAGTGAAGTCTTTATGAGCGAGTCATTGATTCATTCAAGAGATTCATTGAAAAACACTGATTCATCCAGTAATGAAACAAGTGAAGTCTTTATGAGCGAGTCATTGAATCATTCATTCAAGAGATTCATTGAAAAACGCTGATTCATCCAGTAATGAAACAAGTGAAGTCTTAATGAGCGAGTCATTGATTCATTCATTCATTCAAGAGATTCATTGAAAAACACTGATTCATCCAGTAATGAAACAAGTGAAGTCTTTATGAGCGAGTCATTGATTCATTCATTCAAGAGATTCATTAAAAAAAAACAGATTCATCCACTAATGAAGCAAGTGAAGTCTTTATGAGCGAGTCATTGAATCATTCATTCAAGAGATTCATTGAAAAACGCTGATTCATCCAGTAATGAAACAAGTGAAGTCTTTATGAGCGAGTCATTGATTCATTCAAGAGATTCATTGAAAAACACTGATTCATCCAGTAATGAAACAAGTGAAGTCTTTATGAGCGAGTCATTGAATCATTCATTCTAGAGATTCATTGAAAAACGCTGATTCATCCAGTAATGAAACAAGTGAACTCTTTATGAGCGAGTCATTGATTCATTCATTCATTCAAGAGATTCATTGAAAAACACTGATTCATCCAGTAATGAAACAAGTGAAGTCTTAATGAGCGAGTCATTGATTCATTCATTCATTCATTCAAGAGATTCATTGAAAAACGCTGATTCATCCAGTAATGAAACAAGTGAAGTCTTTATGAGCGAGTCATTGATTCATTCATTCATTCAAGAGATTCATTGAAAAACACTGATTCATCCAGTAATGAAACAAGTGAAGTCTTTATGAGCGAGTCATTGAATCATTCATTCAAGAGATTCATTAAAAAACGCTGATTCATCCAGTAATGAAACAAGTGAACTCTTTATGAGCGAGTCATTGATTCATTGATTCATTCAAGAGATTCATTGAAAAACACTGATTCATCCAGTAATGAAGCAAGTGAAGTCTTTATGAGCGAGTCATTGAATCATTCATTCAAGAGATTCATTGAAAAACGCTGATTCATCCAGTAATGAAACAAGTGAAGTCTTTATGAGCGAGTCATTGAATCATTCATTCAAGAGATTCATTGAAAAACGCTGATTCATCCAGTAATGAAACAAGTGAAGTCTTAATGAGCGAGTCATTGATTCATTCATTCATTCAAGAGATTCATTGAAAAACACTGATTCATCCAGTAATGAAACAAGTGAAGTCTTTATGAGCGAGTCATTGATTCATTCATTCAAGAGATTCATTGAAAAACACTGATTCATCCACTAATGAAGCAAGTGAAGTCTTTATGAGCGAGTCATTGAACCATTCATTCAAGAGATTCATTGAAAAACGCTGATTCATCCAGTAATGAAACAAGTGAAGTCTTTATGAGCGAGTCATTGATTCATTCATTCATTCAAGAGATTCATTGAAAAACACTGATTCATCCAGTAATGAAGCAAGTGAAGTCTTTATGAGCGAGTCATTGAATCATTCATTCAAGAGATTCATTGAAAAACGCTGATTCATCCAGTAATGAAACAAGTGAAGTCTTTATGAGCGAGTCATTGAATCATTCATTCAAGAGATTCATTGAAAAACGCTGATTCATCCAGTAATGAAACAAGTGAAGTCTTAATGAGCGAGTCATTGATTCATTCATTCATTCAAGAGATTCATTGAAAAACACTGATTCATCCAGTAATGAAACAAGTGAAGTCTTTATGAGCGAGTCATTGATTCATTCAAGAGATTCATTGAAAAACACTGATTCATCCAGTAATGAAACAAGTGAAGTCTTTATGAGCGAGTCATTGAATCATTCATTCATTAATTCGATTTTTTTTTCCAAAACGCTGATTCATTAAGAAATGAAACAAACGAAATTTCTAAGAGCGAGTCATTAAATTATTCATAGAAGAGATTCGTTGACAAACGCTGATTCATCAAGTGAAGTCTTTACGAGTGAGTCATTGAATCATTCAAGAGATTGTTCAAAATCCTGCTTCTCTGTGGATTCGGAGTCGTGCAGCTCTAATGAAATGTGTTCAGATGTAGATTTGAGTTGGAGGGAGTTCGGGATGAACGTGGAGCTGCAGGGCGTGACGAATGACGCCAGTGTGATGCGCATCAGCGACAACGTGCACAACAAGAACAGAAGCCTCCAGTGCGCCGCGGTGAGTGTGTGTGTGTGTGTGTGATCGTCATGGATCTTCATGAGTCTGTGTGTGTGTGTGAGTGTGTGATCTTCATGGGTTCATTCCGATCTTCATGAGTGTGAGTGTGTGATCTTCATGGGTTCATTCCGATCTTCATGAGTCTGTGTGTGCGATCTTCATGGGTTAATTACGATCTTCATGAGTCTCTGTGTGTGTGTTTGTGTGTGTGTGTGTGATCTTCATGAGTCTGTGTGTGTGTGTGTGTGTGTGTGTGATCTTCATGGGCTCATTGCGATCTTCATGAGTCTGTGTGTGTGTGTGTGTGTGTGTGTGTGATCTTAATGGGTTCATTCCGATCTTCGTGTGTGTGTGTGTGTGTGATCTTCACGGGTTCATTCCGATCTTCATGAGTCTGTGTGTGTGTGTGTGTGATCTTAATGGGTTCATTCTGATCTTCGTGTGTGTGTGTGTGTGTGTGTGTGTGTGTGTGTGTGTGTGTGTGTGTGTGTGTGTGTGTGTGTGTGTGTGTGTGTGTGTGTGTGTGTGTGATCTTCACGGGTTCATTCCGATCTTCATGAGTCTGTGTGTGTGTGTGTGTGTGTGTGTGTGTGTGATCTTCATGGGTTCATTCCGATCTTCGTGTGTGTGTGTGATGGTTTTTCAGCATCAGCAGGCGTGTGATGAGATTATCGTGTTGCATCTGGGTTACCTGAACTACACTCAGTACAAGATCAACGTCAGCTTCAGGAACCTCCAGCAAGACCTGAAGGACAATATCAAAAATGTCACTTTTGTAGTAAGTTTACATTAATCATGTTTCACAGACAAAACGAAGGGGTATTTGCACCCATTCAATCATTCAATGAAACGTGTGAAATCTTTACAAGTGAGTCATTGAATCATTCAAGAGATTTGTTCAAAATCTCAGATTCAACCAGTAATGAAACAACTGAAGAATTTACAAGTGAGTCATTGAATTATTCATTCATTCATGAGATTTGATCAAAAACGCTGATTCATCCAGTAGTGAAACGAGTGAAATCTTTACAAGTGAGTCATTGAATCATTCAAGAGATTCGTTCAAAAACACAGATTCATCCAGTAGTGAAACGAGTGAAATCTTTACGAGTCATTGAATCATTCAAGAGATTCGTTAAAAAACACAGATTCATCCAGTAGTGAAACGAGTGAAATCTTTACAAGTGACTCATTGAATCATTCAAGAGATTCATTCAAAAACACAGATTCATCCAGTAGTGAAACGAGTGAAATCTTTACAAGTGACTCATTGAATCATTCAAGAGATTCGTTCAAAAACACAGATTCATCCAGTAGTGAAATGAGTGAAATCTTTACAAGTGAGTCATTGAATCATTCAAGAGATTCGTTCAAAAACACAGATTCATCCAGAAGTGAAACAAGTGAACAGTTTACGAGTGATTCATTGAATCATTCAAGAGATTCGTTCAAAAACACAGATTCATCCAGAAGTGAAACGAGTGAACAGTTTACGAGTGATTCATTGAATCATTCATGAGATTTGTTTAAAAACACTGATTCATCCAGTAATGAAACAAGTGAAATATTTACAAGTAAGTCATTGAATCATTCAAGAGATTCGTTCAAAAACACAGATTCATCCAGTAGTGAAAAGAGTGAACAATTTACGAGTGATTCATTGAATCATTCTTTCATGAGATTTGTTTAAAAACACTGATTCATCCAGTAATGAAACAAGTGATACGAGCAAGTCATTGAGTCATCCAAGAGATTCTTTTAAAAAAATCATCCGGTAATGAAACTTGCGTGACCAAAACCATAGAAGAAGACCTTCAGAAAACTCCCACAATGCTCTCAAACTCTCTTTTAATAGCAAAAGAACATTTAGACTCCTGTTATTAATCGTTTCATTGGTATTATTGGTCATCATGCGTTATGTGAAGTGTTTAGCTACAGATGTAGATGCATTTGCTAACCCTTTTTTTAAGTTGACATGTTGTTAATGGTTCTGTTTCTCTGTGTTCTTTGCCAGTTTAAGATGTACAACGCCACGTTCTCTCAGGTGGAGATTTGGTTCCGGTTTGTGTTTGTTGTGATGACCTTCATCGTGACTGTGAGTTACAGCTGCAAAACATCTGCAAATCACACGCGTTCGAGTCGCTCATGATCGTTTGTCTATTTAAGGAAAGTCATGTGACTTTGACATCAAATTCTCCAAAGCTGTTCACTAGGGCTGCACGATATACGTTCATCTTCAATGTTATCGTTATCGGCCCGATAAGAAGACTTGGCTGATATATTAAAGCCGATAAATAATGTAATATTTCCTTCAGATGCGCACTGTTCAACATGATGGCTTTGTATTGCTTGAAATATGATTGGATTCACTTCAAAAAAGGAAAATATGGTTAAGTGCAAATCTGTCATATCGGCTACAGAACATTATAACGAGAACATCATTATAATTGTGTGTTTGGGACGTGGATTTTAATGCTGAGATTTTTGTTTTTGTAATCAGGCTCTCATAAATTAGATAAAAATTTGGATTTAGATTTTCGGCCAATATATCGGTTATCGGCTTTCAAATATAAAGAATTATTGGAATCAGCCAAAATGTTCATATCGGTGCATCCCTACTGTTCACTAAGCTTACCATTAAATTTAATATTTGAAATCACCAATATTTGAAATGTCTCATTAATGTTGGTTCTAAACAGCTAATCAGCGATAGAGAGCCTAAGCCCCGCCCCTCCGCTTCCGGCTCATTGGACCTTATTTCGGAAAAAATATGTATGGTAGTCAATGGCGAGAGACAACTCATCTTTTTATTCCGTCTGAACTGTGTCCTGAATCACACATATGACGTTTGTCAATTTAAAAGATAATTCTGAAAGTCAAGAAAGTCGCAGTTTGTCATAAAACAGAAGAGTGACATTTAGTTTTATGTGAAAATCGCTCGATGAACTACATCTCCCGGGAAGAGAAACAACGAGCGAGATCCGCTGCTCGTGTGTGTGTGCAGTCTGGTACAAAACACTCGATGACGGCGTAACGTTACGATTATAATAGAAGACTATATAAACAATGACAGACGTTAGCTTCAGTAATGTTAGCTTCAGTAAAGTTAGCTTCAGTAAAGTTAGCTTCGGTAAAGTTAGCTTCGGTAAAGTTAGCTTTGGTAAAGTTAGCTTCGGTAAAGTTAGCTTCGGCAAAGTTAGCTTCGGCAAAGTTAGCTTCGGCAAAGTTAGCTTCGGCAAAGTTAGCTTCGGTAAAGTTAGCTTCTGTAAAGTTAGCTTCAGTAAAGTCAGCTTCAGTAAAGTTAGCTTCAGTAAAGTTAGCTTCGGTAAAGTTAGCTTCGGTAAAGTTAGCTTCGGTAAAGTTAGCTTCAGTAAAGTTAGCTTCAGTAAAGTTAGCTTCAGTAAAGTTAGCTTCAGTAAAGTCAGCTTCGGTAAAGTCAGCTTCGGTAAAGTCAGCTTCGGTAAAGTAAGCTTCGGTAAAGTTAGCTTCGGTAAAGTTAGCTTCGGTAAAGTCAGCTTCGGTAAAGTTAGCTTCGGTAAAGTTAGCTTCGGTAAAGTTAGCTTCAGTAAAGGTAGCTTCAGTAAAGTTAGCTTCGGTGAAGTCAGCTTCGGTAAAGTCAGCTTCGGTAAAGTCAGCTTCGGTAAAGTCAGCTTCGGTAAAGTCAGCTTCGGTAAAGTTAGCTTCGGTAAAGTTAGCTTCGGTAAAGTTAGCTTCGGTGAAGTCAGCTTCGGTAAAGTCAGCTTCGGTAAAGTCAGCTTCGGTAAAGTCAGCTTCGGTAAAGTCAGCTTCGGTAAAGTCAGCTTCGGTAAAGTCAGCTTCGGTAAAGTTAGCTTCGGCAAAGTTAGCTTCGGTAAAGTTAGCTTCTGTAAAGTTAGCTTCAGTAAAGTTAGCTTCAGTAAAGTCAGCTTCAGTAAAGTTAGCTTCAGTAAAGTTAGCTTCAGTAAAGTTAGCTTCGGTAAAGTTAGCTTCGGTAAAGTTAGCTTCGGTAAAGTTAGCTTCGGTAAAGTCAGCTTCGGTAAAGGTAGCTTCGGTAAAGTTAGCTTCGGTGAAGTCAGCTTCGGTAAAGTCAGCTTCGGTAAAGTCAGCTTCGGTAAAGTCAGCTTCGGTAAAGTCAGCTTCGGTAAAGTTAGCTTCGGTAAAGTTAGCTTCGGTAAAGTTAGCTTCGGTAAAGTCAGCTTCGGTAAAGTTAGCTTCGGTAAAGTTAGCTTCGGTAAAGTTAGCTTCGGTAAAGTTAGCTTCGGTAAAGTTAGCTTCGGTAAAGTTAGCTTCGGTAAAGTTAGCTTCGGTAAAGTTAGCTTCAGTAAAGTTAGCTTCGGCAAAGTTAGCTTCGGTAAAGTTAGCGTCGGTAAAGTTAGCGTCAGTAAAGTTAGCTTCGGCAAAGTTAGCTTCAGTAAAGTTAGCTTCGGCAAAGTTAGCTTCAGTAAAGTTAGCTTCGGCAAAGTTAGCTTCGGTAAAGTTAGCTTCGGCAAAGTTAGCGTCAGTAAAGTTAGCTTCGGCAAAGTTAGCTTCAGTAAAGTTAGCTTCGGTAAAGTTAGCTTCAGTAAAGTTAGCTTTATTCGTTGAGAGAAAGGTATGACGTCACGTGCGCCTTTTGGGTTTGTATAGTCTTTGTATTTACGTATTTTCACAGTCTTATACCTCAACAGTTTTACATCAAACTGCGACTTTCTTGACTTTAAAATGTATCTTTTAAATTGACAAACATCATATGTGTAATTCAGGGCACAATTCAAACGAGATCAAAATATTTGTTGTCTCTCGCCATTGACTACCATACAATATTTTTCCGAAATAAGGTCCCATGGTGTCGACCGGAAGGGGAGGGGCTTAGGCTCTCTATTGGCTGTTGTATTTAGAAGGCGGGGCTTATTCCTCCATATTGCGTGTTGCAGTTTCTCCCGTTGATAGTAGCTGGAGTGCGGTGTGTGTGTATCTGACGTGTCTGTTGTGTGTGTAGTGCATGTTTGCGCACTCGCTGAGGAAGTTCTCCATGAGGGACTGGGGGATCGAGCAGAAGTGGATGTCGATTCTCCTTCCTCTGCTGCTGCTCTACAACGGTGAGGCGGAGAACACACTGATGTTTAAACGCTTGGGGTCTGTGACGTTTCAAGGACACAAACGTGACCGTAAAAACATATAATGTAACAAAAGACTGAAATAAATGCTGTTCTTTTGAACTTTCTGTTCATCAAAGAAGCCTGAGAAATAAGATGTGTCAGTTTTCAACACTGATAATAATCATAAATGTTTCTTGAGCATCAAATCATCATATTAGAGTGATTTCTGGAGACTGGAGTAATGATGCTAAAAATACAGCTTTGATCTCACACACACGCGCACTCTCTCACACACACACATGCGCACTCTCTCACACACACACATGCGCACTCACACACACGCACTCTCTCACACACACACACACACACACACATGCGCACTCTCTCACACACACACATGCGCACTCACACACACGCACTCTCTCACACACACACACACTCACTCACAGACGCACTCGCACACACACACACTCACACACGCACTCACAAACACACACGCACTCACACACACGCGCACTCACACACACGCACTCACTAACACACACGCACTCACACACACACACGCACTCACTAACACACACGCACTCACACACACACACTCACTAACACACACGCACTCACTAACACACACGCACTCGCACACATTAACTCAAACACATACACTCACACACGCACTCACTAACACACACGCACTCACTCACACACGCACTCACACACACTCACTAACACACGCACTCACACACACACGCACTCACTAACACACGCACTCACACACACACGTACTCGCACACACGCACTCACACACTCACACACACACACGCACTCACTCACACACACACACTCTCTCTCACACACATTAACTCAAACACATACACACTCACACACACACTCACTAACTCACACACGCACTCACTAACACACACGCACTCACACACGCACTCACTAACACACACGCACTCACACACACACTCACTAACACACACGCACTCACACACACACTCTCTAACACACACGCACACACCCACTCACACACGCACTCACTAACACACACCCACTCACACACGCACTCACTAACACACACGCACTCACTAACACACACGCACTCACTAACACACACGCACTCACTAACGCACACACACGCACTCACACACACACTCACAAACACACACGCACTCACTAACACACACGCACTCACTAACGCACTCACTAACACACACGCACTCACACACGCACTCACTAACACACACGCACTCACACACGCACTCACTAACACACACGCACTCACACACGCACTCACTAACACACACGCACTCACACACACACTCACTAACACACACGCACTCACACACACACTCTCTAACACACACGCACACACCCACTCACACACGCACTCACTAACACACACCCACTCACACACGCACTCACTAACACACACGCACTCACTAACACACACGCACTCACTAACACACACGCACTCACTAACGCACACACACGCACTCACACACACACTCACTAACACACACGCACTCACTAACACACACGCACTCACTAACGCACACACACGCACTCACACACACACTCACAAACACACACGCACTCACTAACGCACACACACGCACTCACACACACACGCACGCACTCACTCTCACACACGCACTCACACACACACACTCACTAACACACACACACTCACTAACACACACAAACTCACTAACACACACGCACTCACTAACACACACGCACTCACTAACGCACACGCACGCACTCACACACACACTCACTAACGCACACGCACGCACTCACACACACACTCACTAACACACACGCACTCACACACACACTCACTAACACACACGCACTCACACACACACACGCACTCACTCTCACACACGCACTCACACACACACTCACTAACACACACACACACACTCACTAACACACACGCACTCACTAACACACACACACACACTATATTTGATATTATGATAATAATCATAAATGTTTCTTGAGCATCAAATCATCATATTAGAGTGATTTCTGGAGACTGGAGTAATGATGCTAAAAATACAGCTTTGATCTCACACACACACGCGCACTCTCTCACACACACACATGCGCACTCTCTCACACACACACATGCGCACTCACACACACGCACTCTCTCACACACACACACACTCACTCACAGACGCACTCGCACACACACGCACTCACACACACACACACACTCACACACGCACTCACAAACACACACGCACTCACACACACGCGCACTCACACACACGCACTCACTAACACACACGCACTCACACACACACACGCACTCACTAACACACACGCACTCACACACACACACTCACTAACACACACGCACTCACTAACACACACGCACTCGCACACATTAACTCAAACACATACACTCACACACGCACTCACTAACACACACGCACTCACTCACACACGCACTCACACACACTCACTAACACACACTCACTAACACACGCACTCACACACACACGCACTCACTAACACACGCACTCACTCACACACGCACTCACACACACTCACTAACACACGCACTCACACACACACGCACTCACTAACACACGCACTCACACACACACGTACTCGCACACACGCACTCACACACACACACGCACTCACTCACACACACACACTCTCTCTCACACACATTAACTCAAACACATACACACTCACACACACACTCACTAACACACACGCACTCACACACGCACTCACTAACACACACGCACTCACACACGCACTCACTAACACACACGCACTCACACACGCACTCACACACACACTCACTAACACACACGCACTCACACACACACTCACTAACACACACGCACACACGCACTCACACACGCACTCACTAACACACACGCACTCACACACACACACTCACTAACACACACGCACTCACACACACACTCACTAACACACACGCACTCACTAACACACACGCACTCACACACACACGCACTCACACACACACGCACTCACTCTCACACACGCACTCACTAACACACACGCACTAACACACACACACTCACTAACACACACGCACTCACTAACACACACACACACACTCTCTCTCTCTCACACACACACACACACACTCTCTCTCACACACGTTTCATTGACTGATGTTGTATTTCTCCGTGTTGTAGATCCCTTCTTCCCGCTGTCGTTCCTGGTGAACAGCTGGTTTCCGGGAACACTGGACGCTTTCTTCCAGTCTCTGTTCCTGTGTGCGCTTCTGCTGTTCTGGCTGTGTGTGTATCACGGCATCCGAGTGCAGGTGCGCTCATAATACACACAAATATTCATGAGTAATAATAAATCATGTTTGGTGCGGCCTCTTTGTCTATCTAAAGTCTTCAATCATAGCTTTTGGTCTGAGAATGTGGTTTCATGTTGATTTTGAAGAGCACAAATTCTGAGTTCTTTCACACAGTATCAAAATGTCTTCTGATGTTTCATATTCAGGGCGAGAGGAAGTTCTTGACGTTTTACCTGCCCAAGTTGATCATCGTTGGGCTGTTGTGGTTATCGGCCGTCACGCTGGGAATCTGGCAAACGTGAGAAACATGCTCTAGTTAGTGTGACTGCTAATGACCTATGGGATTATTATCATTTTAATAATCTTTTTTTATTATTAGGGTGAATGAGCTGCAGGATCCCACGTATCAGTACAAAGTGGACATCCAGAACTTCCAGGTGAGAACTTCCACCTCAGCCTAAACCAAATCTATATTAAAATCTAAGTTAATACGTAATTTCAGCACATTACAGTCAAATTACATTGTTGAGAGAGAGAAAAAAAGTCACGTTTTATTATTAAATTTAGAAATGATGTAAAATACTGGTAAATAAAACGAGATGTTAATATTATAAACACTATTAAAATGTATTTTAGTTCCTGTCACTCCACAAAAAATCCTTTTACATTTAACAGTATTCAGAACATAAATGTAAAATAGAAGTATAGAAATAGTGGCATTCGTTATAAACAACACGCATTATAAACAAATAAAACATTCCTCTCTCTTTCACACAAATACAAATGTGTGTTCTATAATGCAGTTAATATCGATTAAAGTCAACATGAAAGGGAAGTTGTGCTGGTGTTTTCTCCTCTATTGGTCCGTATATACGAGTGAAACGCTTCTGGAACAATAACAAATGTGGGCGGGGCTTGATTGTGTCTGGGGATTTGATTGGATGGTTGTTGTTTGCTATTGGCTGATCTCATGTGAGTGACAGGTTATAGCCCCGCCCACATCATCAGAGAAGAGATTCTGCAAGAGGAACTGATTCTGATTCAAGATTATTAACTCAATAATGATGATGTGCACCGATAAATCATTTAGAATAAACAATATTACATAAAAAAATAAGAATTGTCAATTTCATGCTGACTTTACAATAAAGTTCATTAGTTAATGTATTTACTAACCATGAGCAATACATTTGTTACAGTATTTATTAATCTTTGTTAACGTTAAATAATAAAAATCCAGCTGTTCATTGTTTCTTCATGTTAGTTGATTAACTAATGTTAACAAATACAACCTTTGATTTTAATAACGTATTAGTAAATGTTGGTTAACTACCTTAGCTAACATGAACTAAGAATGAACAATGAACCTTATATTGTAAAGTGTTACGGAGAAACATTATGCAAGTGTGTTTTCGCTGTAGGGCATGAAGATCTTCTTCCTGCTGGTGGTGTGTGTGTACGTTCTGTACCTGGTGTTTCTGGTGGTGCGCGCCTGCTCTGAGCTGAAGAACATGCCGTACACAGGTAACACACACACACACACACTCACACACTCCTGACACGAGGAACACGGCCAGCATTAAAGGGATAGTTCACTTCAAAATAAAAATTCTGTCATTATATACATGTGAAACAGGCAAAAGTTCATTTATTTCAGTAATTCAACTTAAAAGGTGAAACTAATATATTATATAGACTCATTACATGCAAAGTGAGATATTTCAAGCCTTTATTTGTTATAATTGTGATGATTATGGCTTACAGATATGAAAACCTTTTCACAATATTCTAATTTTGAATTTGGGGTTTTCATAAGCTGTAAGCCATAGTCATCACAATTATAACAAATAAAGGCTTGAAATATCTCACTTTGCATGTAATGAGTCTATATAATATATTAGTTTCACCTTTTAACCCTTTAGGCGCCAGAGGTCTTTTCCTAAAACGTTCGATTGTGACATCTTAATTTCAAAAGGCTATATCTTAAAAGTGATAAAAGATAGAGACTTTCTGTAAATTAGAGAAATATTAAGGATGACCCAAAGCTTATGTAGGGATTACATTTTCCCATCTAATTAGCATATTATGACGTCATATGGTGGTGGCAATCTTGGATTATAGAATTTTCATGAAAAGTCACATGTTTAAATGATGCAGCACTTCTTTCCCCCCAAAATGTCCCTCACCTTCTGTATGCTATATTGCACAATACTGAATGCTCAGTTATATAGTAACTAGTAAACAAACTGTGTAAATCATTACTAATAAATGGTAGAAACAAACCGAATGCATGTAGCGGTTGGCCTTTTGCTGTAGAGATTTTACATTTACTAAATACAGTAGACACTCTGATTCCATGTATGGGGCGCATATATATTATTCATATGACATACAAACACAAGTAGACAAGACCCGTTTAGTTCAAACGCTCACTCGCCACGGCAAGGCCCAGATCATGAGTGAGATGATCCGAGCAGCGCGGCCAGATCGAGTGTGCACAGCTCAGACTACTGCGACTCCTCACCCTGCCTCCACGTCGCCCCCTAACTGTCCTATGAATACTTCGACCTCGTCTAACATACCCAGTGGCATTAGACAAAGTCTCCACCACAATACTGTCGCCGCGACCGCGGAGAGGCTCTGATAAAACGGCTCACTCGCACACTAGCTCCACTTTTGATCGCACTGATTCAATGCGCTCTAACTCGAACATATAGAAACATCACGTTTTTTTGATTCGGGGATGAAGTATGACGTCTCTGCCATCCAGTGGAGGCGAGGTCGAATGAAATTTGACACCCAATTTGACAAAATCACCCGTTTTATTCAGTGCTGCATCTTGTCGAGTAAACTCGACCGTGGCGCCTAGAGGGTTGTTGAATAAGTTGAATTACTGAAATAAATGAACTTTTGCTAACTAACCCTCAAGTTGTTTCAAACCTGTGTGAGTTTCTTTCTTCTGCTGAACACAAAGGAAGATATTTTGAAGAATGTCAGAAACCAAACAGTTCATGGACACATTGACTTCCGTAGTATTTTATTTTTTCCTAATATGAAAGTCAATGTGTCCATGAACTGTTTGGTTTCTGACATTCTTCAAAATATCTCAAAACTCACACAGGTTTGAAACAACTTGAGGTGAACTATCTCTTGAACATGCAGGGTTTTTGTTCAATGTCTTCATTCGTGTGCTCAGATCTGCGGCTGAAGTTCCTGACGGCGCTGACGTTGGTGGTGCTGGTGATCAGGTAATATAAAAATACACTCGTACTGCTATTTAAAGAGTCATCGTGCTCTACTAGAACAGCTTTTCCTGCTTGAATGTTGATTATTTTCCCCATAGTCGCACGTTCATTCGTTATCAGCAGTTCAACGAGTCGGTGTTTCCCGAAACCATCTTTCCAATGAACATTCGCAAACAGCGTCGCAGAGTTCTGTGTGTGAGCGACAGATCTCGAGCTGCGGTTAGAAGAAGAGTTTCTAGTTTGCATGACATGTGACTCAATACATCCTGATCTTGACCAAAATAAGCAAGCTGACATTCAGTACAACCTGTGTCTTTTATTCAGAATACATACAAATGTCATTCACGTCTGTTAGTTTGTCAAGAGATTTAAAGCGTCGTTCTTGAAGAGTGTGTGTATGTGTGAACGAGCTCTTGTGTGTAAGAACGAGTCTATGATTGAATCTGGAAATAGAGCAAAATAACTGAGAAAAATGAGAAATAGTCCTCAGATGCTGTGTCTGTAATATATAGCAAAACATCTCGCATTAATTCGATCTCAAACAGATTCATTAACAGTAGTTATTACTCCATCACCTGCGTGACATCATTAACCGACGTGGTTGAACGACCGATTTGCGACAATACGGTTTCGGGACACAGTCGTGACGAGCTAAACGATTTCTTCAAGGATACACACTCCTGTTTATAAGAAAAAACAATACAAGGCACTCGGTTTTATTTAGTTTTAGAAAAATATAAAAAGCCTTTATTTTTTCATGGCATAGATTTTTAAAAACTGGTGACAAGCATCGGCACACATATGCGTTGCAGCTAATAAGCCTTCATCAGTGTGTGTGTGTGAACTAAACACTTCTGAAAAGCACACTGTGCTCTGATTGGTCGGCTGGATCAGTGTGTTGTGATTGGTCGAGCGCTTCGAGTGTGTTTGGGAAATGTCCCGCCCCTTTCAACACATTACTAACTAACTCAACCACGCCCCGCCCCTTTATTCTGCGTATGAATTATTATAATGAGGAATATTAAAGCATCAGCATCATAACTCCAGTCTTCAGTGTCACATGATCCTTCAGAAATCACTCTAATATGAGGATCTGATGCTCAAGACACATTTCTGATTGTTATCAGTGTCTTATTTTTCGTGTTTTTTGAAAATGTCTTTGATCAATTTAATGTACATGCTATATTCTGGGCAAATGTAGTCATGTGATCATTTATGCTTGTGCAGGAGTTTGTAAATGACGTTCAGATGGTGTGTGTTGTAACTCCCTCTTCCTCTTTCATCAGTGTGGTTATACTGTACCTGAGATTCGGATCCAAGGCCTTGCAAGACAACTTTGTTGCCGAACTTTCCACCCACTACCAGAATTATATCCTTTCATTACAGGATCGTGCGAGATCATCCCCTCACGCCTCTTTAGTTATGTTTAAAGTGCCCCTATTTTGCTATTTTAAAGCTTCCTAATTGTGTTTTGGCGTCTCCTACAGTGTGTTCACATGCATCCAAGATCAAAAAACACTTTAATTTTCTAATATCTATTGCAGCATCGCCTCATTTCCTCTCAGTGTCTGAAACGCTTCGTTCGGAGATTCAGCCTCTCTAAGCCCCGCCTCTATGAGAGCTGCTCTGCTGTGATTGGTCAGAAAGCAAACGCTCATTATCATATCTGACTCTCAGCTCTTGATCACAGTGATACGAACAGTAACGATGGCGTGGGTTTCACCGTCTCAATCTCAGAAAACAGCGTCTCCTCGACACGAGCCGAACTCTCCCAGTCTCAGATACACTACAGTGTTTGAGGGCGGAGCTAAGAGACGCTGCTCAGCCAATCAGGACCAGAGGTGGGGATTATGCAAATTAGCTACATGTGAGACTGGAATTACTGACTCGTTTCTTTTAGGAGACAAAAACTTAATCTTTAAAACTTTGCAGGGCTTTTACATTCACAACCAGCTCTATTTCAGGGTATGTTTGCAAAAGCATAATGAGGCACTTTAACTCTATGCTTAGAATGACTCTCTATAAAATGGTGTAAGCATTAATATACAAATGTCCAGGAAAAGCAAGTTTTCCTGAATGTTTTTCTCCACCAGCCGAATTCCTTTCCTTCTACGGCCTCCTGAACTTTTATCTCTACACACTAGCGTTTGTCTACTCGCCCTCCAAAAACGCTCTTTACGGTGAGTTGATCTGCACTTCAAGATCGAGTGTTATTTAACACTCCTTCATCGGTGACTCCTTTGTCATGGAAATGTTTTCCCTTTCCCAGATTCCCAACTGAAAGACAATCCTGCGTTCTCCATGCTCAATGACTCGGATGATGAAGTCATTTACGGGTACGTTCCCTGCGTCAGATCCACAGTCAAAACCAAATGTATTCAGACTCCTTCAACATTTCTCACATTATCACATAGTTTAGAAAATGGTGATAAATATGAGCAGAACTCAGTGGATATTTGACTGGTTTTGTCCGTCCTTCTGTTAGACTCTCACACATGAGTTATGTTGAATATCTGTCAGCTGTTAAATTTAACTACACAATTAGATAATACCAGTTTAGCTCAACCAGTGACCAAGCAATGCTTCATGTTGTTCAGTCTGTGTGTAAAAAGAGCATTAGCAATTACAGAAAACACACTGAAGAAAACATGATCAGCTCAAAGTGGAGGAGTCATTGTTACTGGTAGTCACTGTATGAAGAATATGTGTGTATAATATGTCACAGTTTACTTTATTTTGCTCTCCTCACTTACATAAATGAATTATAGTGAACTAGTAAAAATGATATTTTTGGTTTGACTGTATACCGGTTTAAAACGATCCTTTCAGATCAAGCTCTTCTTATTGTGAGACTTTATTTGTTTTTGTGTGTGTGTGAAGGAGTGATTATGAAGAAATGCCTCTTCAAAATGGCCGCGCCATCAAAGCCACCGCCAAATACCAGGATGAGAGCGAAACCGACTGAATCCGGCCTGACTCCGGATCGCTCCTGTATATCTGAGGGATGTATATAGACTTGTTGTTGAAATGACACCAGTCTCATTATATACTGTGTAAATATACAGGCCTATATATTTTTAAAGGTAAAGTGATTTTTGAATGTAACTCCAGTGGAAGAAGCAGCTCCAGCCGCCCTGATGATGATGATGATGATGAAGATGATGATGATGAAGAAACCCGTCTGTCTTTAACCTCAGTGAGTGTCAGTGAAAGGCAGCGTGCAAATATCAATTATACATCTGATCTAAATACTGTTCAACCACTATATTCAGGGTGACTTACATGAAAAAATGGCCAGATTATATTTCACCTCTAAACTAAGCAGAGAAAAAGTAAGAATGTGTATATTTTTTCTTGACGGGGGGGAAAGCAACAAAAAAAATGTATTATAAAGGATTCGTTTTTTTGCATTGTGACAAAATTAAGCACTATCTTATATTATATGTACTTAAAACCATAAATGTTTAAGTTTACAAATATATTTTGTTCCTGTTGATTTTTTTGCAGTGCACTTAAATGTGTAACTCATGAAAATAATGCAACTAAGGTCCAAACAATTTCTACGTAATGTGTAATATATTTTCTATGTGATTTTTTTTTTTGCGTTTTGGAGTGAAATATGACCTGTGCGTTTCATGTGATCTGCATTAGGAAGGTTTTCTGCCGATTTCTGGCTCGTTCGGGCCAATATCCAGATCCCATGTGCTCATGTGAATCGCTTTTCTTTCTTTTGATAAAGAAATCAAGCCTTGTGTTCATTTCATTTACATTCCAGAAGCCTTCTTTTCTCACATTCCTTTTTTTTATTATTGTGCCTGACCGTATTTATTATTTTGTGGGTGTGAATCACTAAAGAAATCATTGGGTTTCCTCAGTCGGATCTGTGTAAATGTTTGTTGGTTCACTTCACTGTCTTAAAGCTGTAATGATGTTTGGATGGAGGATCCGCCTGTAACGGTGCGAAAATGCTTTGCTTTACAGATAAACATTTACTTGAGTTTAAAACAGGTGTTTGACGTTTGATGCACTGATGCAATGAACCCCTTCTCCATTAGTCTAACACCATCAGGGTCAGCAAGATCATTCCTCAGTCCAAACACTTTCCTTCCATTGCACTGTTGTGAAAACTGTCTGAGAGAATAAAACCTGCAGAGATTTTTAAGACGTGTGCTTTTATTGTGCATAGAGGGTTTGGACGTCGTGTAATGCAAGTAAACGTCGGGTTGAATGCGCTCGTGTTTAAATGGCGAGTCCGAACACACTGACGATGCAGTACAAGTATTTATTTTCCCATCTGACGGTGCAGCTTCCTGAAGGACAACAGAGAGCTCAATATTAGACACAAATATTGTCATTCAATATTACTCTGCTTTTAAACACATTTGCAAAAGTTTGATGAAATAAGAGTCAATACGCTATAATAGTGCAAACTATACATTCGTTTTTTGTAATATGATAAAAATATGTTTAATATTAGGCGGTTTTTTTGTCAAATCAAACTTCTGTAAAAGATTGAACAAAGAAGTTTTTGCATATAGCAAATGTTTAGGTCCCCCCAGTTTTTAATGTTGTTTATGTGTCTATGTGGTGTTTTTAATATGCTTTAACTCAAACCGTGTGTAAGTTCATAAGTCGACAGCATTGCTGAGTATTTTCTGCTTAAAACTGCAGTGAACCAAAGACAGTCTCAAAAACACGGTTTGAAATCGCTGGTGTTTCTGACGTCACAAACGAGCTTGTAACCAATCAGATCAACGTGTGATCGTCAACCAGTGGATCTCTGAGCTGAGCGAGTGAGTGAAGGCGGGGCTCATTTGCATATTCATAGAACCGCGCATACTAAATGAGGCAAGGGTGTCGAGTTACAGTCAAGATATTTTAAAGGGATAATGCTTAAATATGTCATTTTGGTGATCAAAGATGAGTTTAAGGGATAAAAGGATGGACTATAACATTATAGCTCTAAAACATTAAAGTAGGGTTATTTGGTATTTCTTAAATATCTGCAAACATGGTATTTTTATGCTTTTAACAGTAAAAAAAAATGACGTTTAAATCAAAACAGGTGTATGTTATATACGTGACCCTGGACCCGCAGTCTCAAAGGGTACATTTTTTTTTTAATTGAGATTTATGCATCATCTGAAAGCTGATGTATGGTTTGTATTTTTAGCCGAGATGCAACTATTTGAAAATCTGGAATCTGAGGGTGCAAAAAAATCGGAATATTGAGAAAATCTCCTTTAAAGTTGTGCATTTGTGTTTGTGATATTGCTGCATCCACTCACAAAAAAACCTTTTTGATATATTTACGGTAGGAAATGTACAAAATATCTCTATAGAACATGAGCTTTACTTAATATCCTAATGATTTTTGGCATAAAAGAAAAAGCGATAATTCTGACCCATATAATGTTTTGTTGGTTATTGCCACAGATACACCCGTGCGTCATGTGACTGGTTTTGTGATCCAGGGTCACATTTACATTTATTCATTTAACAGACGCTTTTATCCAGAGCGACTCACACATGAGAGCAATAGAAGCATTGAAACTAACATGAGGACAACAATATGCAGTGCTGTGACCCTTCCCAGTTTAATCCAACGCAGCACATTTTTTATATTTTTTATAAAGATAATAGATCAGAATAAAGTGTTAGTATTAATGGATCAAGTGTATATATGGGGTCAATGACGTGGCGTGTCAATTCTGGTGTCCAAAGCATATTCATAATATTAAAAATGTATACATTTTTAAATGCACTTCATTAAATGACTCAACTGAGTCTCAAATGAAAATTCATCATAAATAATTCATCTTTAAGGAACTATTGACCTCAAAAGTCCCAAAATGTCATTCCAGGTAACTAATCTGAATACAAAAATACGACAAAAATGTAAAAAAAAAACATTAATAAAAGTATTTAAAATATACTTGGGCATAATTGTATTGATGTTTTCAACGATACCTACAAATATAGGGATAATACTAAGCTTATTTACATTTTTATGACGGGAAGACTTTTGTCTCCAAATTGTGATTTCTCTAATGTCATTCCTGGATAATAGACATAAATGACTATTTTGGACCATAATGCATTTTGGTATGTCATGTGACATAATATTGTATCAAAAAGAAGAGCCTGGGCTGAACATGTGCAAAGGTCAGTAAGCATCTCTTAAAATGTTGATATATTGACTTCTATATATCTCACACATATATCTCTGTATTATGTGTGCACTATTGTGCCGTACCGTCAGTAGTGCTGTCCCAGAAGCAGGAGGAGGCCGACTGAAGCCCAGCGCCGTTCTTCTGCATGATGATGCATGTGACTGAGGAGAGAAGAGGATCAGTGAGGGTTCCCTGCAGATGTTCACCTCACACACAGATGTTCTCCCAGTCCTCACACAGACCTCCTCACACACAGATGTTCTTCTGACACACAGATGTTCTGCTCACACACAGTTGTTCTCCTCACACACAGATGTTCTGCTCACCGATGTATTTGAAGGGTTTCGCCAGTTTGCTGAGCTGAGAGAGACTCTGCTCCACGACACTGGACGTCCACTGACTCACACGCTTGTGCTCGAAACTGCTGCGACCAATCACTGACTCCAGAGACTGAACACACACACACACACACACACATAGATAACACACACACAGAACACACATGTGCAGAAACACACCAGCGTCAGAAATCATGCTGTCCATCATCAGAGTTATGACATACTATGGACAAATTGTGCACTCTCTCTCACACACTCACTCACACACACACACCACACACACTGTCTCTCTCTCTCTCTCTCTCTCTCTCTCTCTATATATATATATATATATATATATATATATATATATATATATATATATATCTGACACACACACACAGACATTTAGTCTCACACTCACACACACTCTCAAACAAACACACACACATACACACTCACACACACACACACACACACACACACTCTCTCTCTCTCTCTCTCTCTCTCTCTCTCTCTCTCTCTCTCTCTCTCTCTCTCTTACACACACACACACACACACACCTCTTTAATGATGCCGCTCACTTCTTCCACCACGAAGGCTGTCTAGAAGAAGACAGGAATAAACAGAGAAAGATCGAGAGACTGTTTAAAGCTTCTGAACAGCGAAAACACTGAAATCTACTGTATATGTGTTCGGGTTAATCGGTTAGCAGCTGTTAGCGACTAGCTTTACTGCAACAGCAAAAAATAAACGAGTTAAAAGTAATTTACGAGTGTTTAAAGCAAACATATTTTATTTTTTATGGTCTTTACGGTACCTCTTCTGCACTCTGATCATCATCCATGTTTCTTTGTTTTGTCAATCGAAGCCTCAGCGGTTGTCATGGAAATGACGCACCGTATACGTCACGACGGAGGATCGTCATAGTAGTCTAAAATGTAATTACAAACTTTTTAGAGGTATAATTTTGATGGTATATTTTATTCGTCACGCAGTATGATATTAACGAATTTATTTCGTTCCGTCTTTACGTTTACAGAAGTAAATGTAGCAAGTTTCGTGTTACAAAAAATCGCCGGGGTTTTTTTCATCCGTATGTTCTCCTGTTGCTTGTTACCCAAAACAAATATGTAATATCGTTTACATTTATTATTTAGTCTCTGGGCTGTACATAGCACTTTTAAAATTGTTAATGTTTATATTTTAAAGTTTATTACTTAAGAATATAATATATAGGCCATGTTATTTTTTATTTGTTCTAATTTCTTTGAAGGGCAATAACATATATGCTTTTGAAATATTATTTTAAATATTTAGAGCCTTGATTGATCGCTCTGACTGACCAATAAGAGCCGCTCCACCAAGCCCCGCCCCTCGGAAGAGGATTGACGTCAGGATTCCCCGCCCTGCTGCTTCCTCTTTCACAGTGGTCGTCGGCGAGAGACACCATGAAGGCGTCTGGCACAGTACGTAAAATCCTACTTTAATCGTTTCACAGTCGCTTAAATCTCACAATTATCATCCGAAAACACGTATAAGACACTCATTTACCCATAGCAGCGATTTAACACGACACACGTTCAGGTTTAAAGCGTTTTATTCGCTTTGACGTGTTGATTGTAGCGAATAGAGAAACATGGCGGCCGGAGACTCGCTCCATGTGCTGATCAGTGATGATCACACACACACAAAACCTCACGATATCGAGTTGATTTACTCTCTAACACACTCTCAGTGGTTGATTCTTGTATTATTGAGTGTATTAGTGAGATTGTGCGCTCGTTGGTTTGTTTTCTGAGCATTACTCGAGATCAGTGTGTTTAGGCCGCTAAGTGTCAGTATTCCGTAATGATGATTAAATTTGCGCGCTTTCAAGATAATATGTATCAAGCTTAGGTAAATATAGATCAAAGATGCTCAATTTTTTTTCTACATGGTTTAGTTGACTTTAAACGGGTTAACATACTCCGCTGAATAAAGTTATAACTATGTTTAGCTAGTTTTGGAGGGATTTTGCCACTTGTTTTGGCTGTAAAATCTAGGAGACCAGTTAAAACCAGCCTGGGAGACCAGCCTAATTTAGTGTTTAAACAGGGTTTGGTTGGCTTTTAACAGGTTAACATGCTAGAGTAATGATATCAATGGCATAGACACCAACATCTTCGTGTTCAGGTGAGATTTTGAGCTAAAGTGTTGATCTCTGACTGTCTTTCTCTCTGTTTCTGCAGCTTCGGGAGTATAAGGTTGTTGGGCGTCTGTTGCCCTCCGCTAAAAACCCCACACCCCCTCTGTACCGCATGAGGATCTTCGCCCCCAACCATGTGGTGGCCAAGTCTCGCTTCTGGTACTTCGTCTCCCAGCTGAGGAAGATGAAGAAAGCCAACGGAGAGACCGTCTACTGTGGCCTGGTGCGAACGCTGTCTAATCCAGACGTCTATGAGCTCTGTTTCTGAGGCTTACGGCCCGTTCACACCGAGAACTAGAACTATATTAGCGTCCATACCAACGAATGATAACGGTCTTTTTATTCTAAGCAGAAATGGATCATAAACATCTCGAATGACTATACCTGATAAATATACACGCGCATATATATGAATCCCAAAGCAATTTGGCTGGTTTGTTACAAATTTGGAACACACAATGAGAAAAAAGTACTAAAATAAAAGCTTCAAAGCAAGCTAACTAGCACTGGTACTTTTGGTACACTATTTGCTAGCCTGCATAATGATCTCATCGTTAATACTTCTCACCGCTTATTCCAAGGGTATGACTGATTGCTTTCCATATATCCCATTCATTTTTAAAAACTATCCTTGAAAGTGGGTTTGACTTGGATTAACTTCTCCACAATGTCGTCTGCCATTTTAAACACGCGAGCCCTTTAATTCGAGTGGCTGATTGGCTGTCAGTGTGCTATCGTTCGACACTTGGGAATAAAAAAAAACGTTCTGACAGTGATCCCAACGATATATCGTTATAGTTGTCGTGTGAGCTCTGCTATTCTTAAATATGGACTTAGACCCGTCTTTATCTGTATAGTTGTCAGCTTGTAATGTGTAACTGTTTTTGTGTAACTGTGTGTAACTGTGTATTGTTTTTGTTATATTGTTTTCATGTTATCACTGTGAAGCGCTTTGATACAATCTGTATTGTAAAAAGCGCTATATAAATAAAGGTGACTTGACTTGACTTCTGTTCCTGCACAGGTCTATGAGAAATCTCCTCTGAAGGTGAAGAACTTCGGCATCTGGTTGCGTTACGACTCTCGCAGCGGGACACACAACATGTACCGCGAGTACAGAGACCTGTCCACATCTGGAGCCGTCACTCAGTGCTGTGAGTTTCCCAGAACACACTCGTGTTCGACCCGCACGCAAACCCAAAGGTCACTTCCCCCCAGTGTTGATGCCCTTGCTATGTGTGCGCACAGAAAAACCGAACCTTGTCGCCTTTCTTAGGCTGTAAAACGTGCCACTGAAAGTGAATTCAAGGTGCGACATGTGATTGTTGTGTGTTCTGTGTGTGTGTTCCCTGTGCTGATGTGTGTTTGTGCTTCAGATCGGGACATGGGTGCCAGGCATCGTGCCCGCGCTCACTCCATCCAGATCATGAAGGTGCAGGTCATCGCAGCCAACAAATGCCGCAGACCCGCCATCAAGCAGTTCCACGTGAGTCACCTGACCGCAGAATTAGCTTTACTCGGCTTTAGCACGAGCTCGATGATGACGCGGTCGCCGCTTAACCCTCATCCTTCCCTCGCGCTTAATAACATACAGGTGAAACTCGGAAAACTAGAGTATCGTGCAACAGTATTTCAGTAATTCAAATTAAAAGGTGACTAATATATTTAGTATATAACTATATACATATGCATGATTATACTTTTCAGAGTGCCGACATTTCTGTATTTAAAATCCTTTTTTTTTATTGATTTTCATGTAATATTCTAATTTTCTGAGATTTTGAATTTGGGGTTTTCATAAGCTGTAAGACATAATCATCAAAATTATAACTTTTCCACGATATTCAAATTTTCGAGTTTACCTGTTTCCCTCGCGGGTCAAAATGACCCGACGCCCTAAATTTATAAAAAAAATTTTTTTTTTTTTGGTCCAGAAAGTACGGAAGCGTATTGCATTCACTTGAAGAAAAAAATCTACTCTGTTTTTCTGAATTAATGAGTTAATTATCTCAGAATTACGAGAATTTTTCATGGGAAAAAAATTTTGCTCTGTTTTTCTGAATTAACGAGTTAACTATCTCAGAATTACAAGAGAATTTTTCATGGAAAAAAAGTTTTTGCTCTGTTTTTCTGAATTAATGACTTGATTATCTCAAAAACTCAGAAAAACAGAGCAAAAACTTTTTTTCCATGAAAAATTATCTTGTAATTCTGAGATAATTAACTCGTTAATTCAAAAAAACAGTAGATTTTTTTCTTCAAGTGAATGCAATACGCTTCCGTAAGAAAGCTTATTTTGATGTTTCTTTTTTTTTCTTTTTTCTTTTTATTTACCTTAAATTACTAATAAATCGAAATTTAAGCACATTCCTAACATTCTTTCAACTTAAATTCAACATATCTTACAATGTCATGCCATAACCCTTTTAATTCAGCTTTAAATATCTTACATCAGGAGTCTTGTCGACCTCTTGTGGAAAAATAATAATAACACATGAGATTTCATGACTCTAGATGATCTTATAGCTCTATATGGAGTAAATGAGCTGTTCCGCTGGGTCCTAAAGTCAGTTTCTCTCCAGAATGCATTCAGATACACATGTAGACGTAAAATAATATTTTGGTAAAGTGATCATTTTTAGGTTTTTCTATGTGTACTGAAGCATTCCATTCATTCCCATAGGGGTCGAATTGAGTACAATATTTTGTGTATTCGTGGTTCAAGTGAAAAGTCCACTCGAATTAATTTTTTTAAATTATTTTTCGGTAGCACTTGATCCAGTAATACGAACACTTTCTCTTGTCTTATATTCTATTTATAAAAAAAATAAGTCTCAGCTCTTGCATAGTTGTCCTACTGTTAGTTTCACTGCTCCTACTGCTCTCATTTGTTTGTAAGTCGCTCTGGATAAAAGCTAGCCTGGGAAAACCCAGACAACTTCCGGCAAATTTAGATTTGCTCTGAAAGTTAGTCTGGCAAAGAGCTCATTCAAGCCCATTTCCAATCCGCCGAAATCGCGGCACCAATCAGAAGCGTTGGGGCGGGCTTTACACGATGACGACAGCGCTGGGGTTTTGAAGCAGATTTTGTAGCCTACATTACAAAGATGGATGCCGCCGTCGAACATCACTCGTTCCAATCAGCGATCGCGTGTGTTTTAAGCGATTAACGTTTCCTTTTAGTTAAAAACCGAGCAAAGAACAACACTCGGCTCTGCATACGTCATCTCCTTCATCGCTCTGATTGGGTTTAGCTCTATCCGCGACGTCCGCTGGTGACGCCCCTCTGAAAATGACTTGTTTATGACGCTTTAACTCAGTTACAACTGAGAATGGTCTGGTTTTAACCAGGCTAGATAAGATTCTGCTAAATGTAAAGTTGGTTTAAATGACTCTGGAATGAATGAATGCTTGACTGTAGTGTCTCTTGTTTCCACAGGACTCCAAGATCAAGTTCCCTCTCCCTCACAGGGTTCTGCGCCGCCAGCACAAGCCCCGCTTCACCACCAAGAGACCCAACACTTTCTTTTAGAGTGTTTGTTTGTGCTTTCACATTACAGACTAATAAAACGTGGAGAAAATCCCCCTGTTCGTGTGTGTCATCAATACAAAGATACATGTTATGCTGATTATGAACTTGCTACGGTAATTTTAAAATGCAATCGCAGTAGTGAGATCATGGTGTTTATTTATTATTATTATTTTGTTGCCACATCACAGTAATGAGAGTTCAAGGAATTGCAATGAGAATGTCACCATGCA